CATTTGGGGTGGGGGGAAGCAGAGTTTGGAAACTCATGGACAAATAAGCAGAGGGTACTGGGGAAAGTTTTGTCCATCTCTGGAGAGTCCTTTCTGGCTTATTCTCTCAATTCCTCCTAGCTCCAGGACTTATGTTTTGAAGGCATTGCACAATGAATTTGAAAGAGGAGAAATAAACAGTCACACCCAGAGTGACTTCCCACTCCTCATTGTCTCAGGCAACGAAAAGAAATTCTATGGATGAGCTACTTCCAAAACAAACATCCTGAGCACCCATGCAGCCTGCTTGCAGATCTCAGCAGCTTGCAGATTAACTCACTGACAGTGTATGTCTCCCTCCCACCAAGGAATGATTCTCCAAACATCCAGACCATCAAACTACGGAGGCTGACGGGCTGACAGTTTAGGGGCTACTTACCCCCATAGTTCTCCTTCTAGTACCCAGCATCTGACAGTATCTTTCTGTGTGCAAAGAACTGAATCTCATTATTCCAACAGTGAATATTTTCTTCCCATAGCTGAGAGAATTAAAAGGCAGTGAGTTTAGTTGAAAGCTTATTGTACTTCAGTCTACAGAAACTAGGTACTTTTCAAGTTTATTTACCCTGCCCTGTATTTAAACCACCTCCCTCCTGCCTTTGTTCTGTAAATAACTATTCCCAAATCCAACTGCCTATCAAACAACAAACCAATGATTCAGTTAATAATTATAAACCCTAACAATTCAGCCCACACCCACATACAAAAGAACTAGATATCACTTGCCTGAAATATTTGACAGTCTTGCAAAGAAGAAAATGGAACTATCTAGAACAACACAGTCATGTTGGGAGTTGTTGGAGAAGGGGTAGGGTGGTAAGGATTGTTGTGTGTGTGTGTGTGTTTTTGAATGAAACTTTGCCTAAGAGGTTCCCGTTGATTCTTTCCCACAGAAGCTTAAGCTTCCATCTCCCAGAAGTATTCGATCCGTTCATTTCCTTGTACTTTGCTCCAAGAATTAGTGAGTCATGTTTTAAGCACAAATTCTTAACATAGGTGCTACTGTGGAACAAAGGAAAACAAAACGCCTCATTCTTTTATTCATCCTTTGAAAGGAAACTCATGGAGCAAACATTTGAGAAACATTCCATTTATATAACAGGAGAAGTCTCAGCCGAAGCACAGCACAATTCAATGGAGGAAGGAGCACTGTGTGCTTTCTTTCCACACATCTGTGCCCCTCTTAGTTAGATCAATCCATGATGTGATAGCCCAGACCCTGCGTCCATAAGGGAATGAGAGAGTGTATCATAGGAAGAAATGGAGTAGAGGGGAAAACATGGTTCTATCGGTTAGAAGAAAGCTGGGTCTCCAATGTCATCCAGCCTGGAGTTTAATCTGAGTTTGCTACTTATAGCTGTGTGTCCTTGGGCTAGGTGGCTGAATAGCTCTGTAACAGTACCATCATTTTGAGGATAACAACAACCAAAAAACAAAAAGCATAAAAAAAAACCCTACCTCAACTGGGCTTTAGTAGCTTATGCCTGGAATCTTAGCTACTCAGGAGGCTGAATTTGAGGGTGAAAGTTCAAAGCCAGTCGAGACAGAAAAGTTCTTGAGACTCCTATCTCTAATTAACCATGAAAAGTGGAGCTGTGATTGCAGTGGCAGAAGGCCAATCCCAAGCCAAAAAAAAAAAAAAAAAGCAGCCAAGTGTGAGGTTCTGAGTTCAATCTCAAATACCAGCACACATATATTCTCTCTCTCACATGCGCACGCGCACACACACACACACACACACACACACACACACACACACCTACCTCATAGATAATCTATACTCAACAGTTCTATAAACTGTGTTCAGTAAGTTCTCTTCAGTCTCAGTCTGGGTTCTCCTTTTGGACTGGTCCATTTGCTTCTCTTGGTTTTAGTTCCCAGCATCCTTTCTGCCTTGTATATACTTAAGGCTGATGGAAAACTTGCAGAAACAGTCTGTAAACAGGCAATGTTATTGTACATCAGACACAGTTCAGACATACACAAGTCCTCAATGGAAAACACACATCAGCTGCTTTATAAACACAAAATAAATACATTGCTGGCAGGTCACACCTCCTTACAGCCCATGGACTGAGCAATGTTGAGAAACTTCTACTACCAACTTTCGGTTGGTTGATTAATTCCATTTCATGAGGGATGATGTATTGGACAAGGTTCTTGATGCAGCTATGCAGATTTTTCTACTCTGTGTTCCAGAACAAATGAGCAAGTGACTTGAACCCCTTTCCCTTCAGCAGCCTTGCCATGGTTAATTTTCTTCCTGGTTTTTTTTTTTTTTACCAGCCTTTTCTCCTTTCTATCCTTTGTGTTGTTTTCTCTATCAGGAATATCATCTTTCGTATTTGTCAGTTCACATATGCTTCCTTCTGATTTGCTTTGTGGTTTTATTCCTAGATTCTTAATTGGAATCGCTCATTTCTTTTCAATAATAACATAATGAAGGTATTTTTGGCTACACAATTCTGTCTAATTATAAGTTTATATCCAGTGGGATTTGATAACAAGTAATCATCTTTTCAGTTATCTCTAGATAAGATTTAATTTCTATTTTTATTTCTTTTCTGTTCTATTGAGAAGTATTCCATATCCATATTGCCCTGTGATTAATTTTTTTACCTATTTGTCTTATTTTATTTATTTTCAATCTATTTTAATCTATGTTTCTATCTATTTCCTTGGAATATAAAATTTTGTTCCTGGATTCCTGGATTTACTGAGGTCTAGACAAAATGAAAACTTTTTTTATATTTATTTTATCTTTAAGTAGTTGTACAAATGAGTCTCTATTCAGCATGTCAGTTTATGAGCAAGATGCATCTGGGTCAGTGTCACCTCTTCCATCTTCTCCCCTCATCTTTCCCAACCCTACCCATTCTTTGAAATTACCCAGTTCCATTTTCACCTGTAGACATTGAATATTATGACTGTATTCACCCACCTTTCTCCTCTCCATGTGTCAGCCTAACAACTTCCTAAAAAGCTTTATTTGAGGAAATTCTTCACGTCTTTTTTTTGTTTTCTCCTTGTGACCAAATACAGGCTAGGATTTTATAACTGTAATCTAGATGAAAGAGTTTATCCTTCATTTCTAGATTCTTTGCATAAATTAAGCAAGCTTATTTAAGTCAATAAAACTAAGTGTATCTTCCTGTCTGACTTTTTCCATCAGATTATTCTGTCACATTCTGATGGAGGCAGATTTTTTCTTCTTTTCTCCCCTTGCATCTCTATGATGATTTTCCTGTTTGAGATAGAAAGGTTTACAGTACATTTTCTTCCTGAATTGTTTATCTTTCTGCTACAAATAAGATTCTGATAGGATTCACTGGATTTTGAATTCTTCCTTACCTGATTGGCAGACTCTTTAAGTCTCAGTTTATGTGTGCATAAAAAAGAAGCACATACATTTCAGAGTTTCAAAAATAGATAATGGGATTCAAAGCCAGCCCAGACAGGAAAGTCCGTGAGACTCGTATCTCAAATAAACCACTCAGAAAACCAGAAGTGGTGCTGTGGCCCACATGGTAGAGCACGCACCTTGAGCTGAAGAGCTTCAGGGACAGTGTGCAGGCCCAGAGTTCAAGTCCCATGATGACAAAAAAAGAAAAAAAAAGTAGACAATGGGAGAAATACTGTGAAGATTCAGCCTAGTGCCCCCTCTCATAGACAGGAACCTATTCTAGTTTTCTTCCTTCCTGACCTCTAAGCTTATCTCACTTTTACTCCTTGGAATAAAATTGTAGAAATCAGCCTCCTGATTTCTATTTCAAGATTCTTGCAGACCAGATCATTGGATTCCTTTTTAACTATTAATTATTGGTCTGTGAGTTAAAAAAGGAGGGGGAGCCCTGCTAGAAAGACAAAGAATACTAAAGCTGCTATGGTTTGAATATGTTTCTCAAAGTTAATGTGTTGAAATTTTAATCCCCAGGCCACAAAGGTAATTAAGATGTGGGGGCTTTTAAGGGGTGATTAGGTTTTGAAGACTCTCCTCTCACGACTGAGTTAGTACCCTTATTTCAGGAGTGGTTTTGTTGCTTGAGGATGAGTCTTAATAAGAAGATGACTTGGACTATCTTTCCTCTCTCACCTGCTTGCCTGAACCTGGGCTCTGGCTTTTGCCATGGAATTACACAACAGTAAAGACCTCAAGTTGTTCCTAGTCCCTAAACTTCCCAATATCCAGGACCATAAGAAATAAATCTCAATGTCTTATAATTACCCAGTCTCAGCTATTCTGTTCTGGCATCACAAAATGTACTCAATTTTAAACAGAGGCATCAAAAACTAGAGTTCCAAACTAGATCAAAGAGAGTCTTGTGAAATAATGTAGGCATTGTTCTTTGTGATATTTGCTCCATTAGGCCTGGCTTGCACAGGTGTATCCAAGGTAGCTATAGGTCCTTGGATTTCCCCTTTCACCGCAAAGAAGATGACATAGGTGTGACATTCCAGGCATCTTGCCCATCTTTTGTAATCCATTCCTCTTTTCTTCTCTCTGTTGGTTGCTTCAGATTCTATGTGTATAGCCACTGGCTTTAAGGACTGATGCTTCCTGCAAGCTTTCTACCCAAACCTGCCAGTAGCCATGACCCTTTCGAGAACATGGAGTCACTGTTCTGGAAAATGAACTAAAACCACATACAGTGCTTATCAATATCAGAGAAATTCTTCTGAATGACTCACTTGACATATTCACTTCCACCTTTTGAAGTCATATACCCTTGCTCATTAAGTAAACATTTGGCCTCTCTCTCTTTCTTTCTCTTTCTCTCTTCTTTCCCCTTTTTCTTTCAGAATACCCGACAAAATATTTCTTATTCTTATGAGTTTAATTATCACTTCAAAATTATGTCTTTTAAGAAAGAAAGAAGAATGTAACTCGGTAGCAGGTGGTACATTTGTTTAGCTTTTAGGTGGCATTTGCTCCATCTCCCTGAGTTTCCAGTAAAGCCCGGTGTACTTTCGTGAAGACAAAACCGAATCCCTAGGTCTAACCTCTGACTGTTCTAGGAATCTGAGCCATTTCTATTAGGCTCACAGTGCATGATCTTTTTCTTCTGATCATATTAGTCCCTCACAAGACTTCCTTAGGTTTCAGGTACAGCATATATGTGGAATGACTTCTGGGCTTCCTCTTGTTAGAGTTGGTCAATATTAGAGACAAAACAATCTCCTAGGTCCTCAAATATCTTTAAAACAGTTATTGATTATTTAAAATGTACTGGTCATTTTGTGCTTCTCTGCTTCCAATAAGAATGAAATAAATGACAGACTACTAGTAGTTAGCAAACTGATGGAGAGATGTTGTGATATATAGCATCTAAAGGGGAGACTTTTGATTCCTTTCTTTCTTACACATGTGCTGACTGCTTTCTACCTTCCCACACCTGGGGTAGACTGTAGACCTTCTTTGATAGAGTAGAAGTGGTGTTATCCCGTTGTAGGCTTAGCTTTTAAGTGGCCTGGCATCTCTTTCCATTCTTGAAGTCAGCTCCCATGAGACTCCCATGCTGTGGAAAAGCACAAAGATGTTGAACACAGAGAAGGAGACAAAGTACTGCACACATGAGAGAGACCATCTAAACCAGCTAAGCATTTTCCAAAGAGTAAGTAACCCAGCTGGCATTCTGAGGAGAACCACCTGCAGATCCCAGAGAACTTATTTACAGTTATGAGACGCATTATTTTTTGTTAATTTTCAAGTTTTTTGGTGTCTAATCACAATGGAAACCTAATGGATGTTTAAGTCATAATACACAAAAGTATAAAATGTTCTAATATCTTATGTATTTATCAATAGCCAGGATTTTACAACTCTGGTTGAGTACCAGGTCCTCTGGGAAGTTTCCTAAACTACGAGCGCTCCATGTGTCATAAAGCTGATTATAGTGTAAAATTACTAGACTTGCCCACTTTCAGGCTTCTAAATTTTCCCAATAAGTACTAATCTGCCATTGTAGTAACCTACAAAGTTAATGACTTGTTTACTTTAAGGAGCTCCTTTTAAAGTGTAACTTTCTTCTAGGAGTGATAAATCCAGCAGGCCACAGGATCACATCCATGACCAGACTGTCTTCTCAAATATTGGTTATAGCTAACAAATATAAAGTCCAAGAAAGCTAAATATGGAGCATGCACACACCTGAGCTGGGAGTTATTGGTTGAAGTCTCCAAAAGACATCATTTGAATTTTCTAGAGTCAGGTGGAATCACTAGGTGCCCAGAAACTGGAAAACAGATAGATACAAACTTGGCAGAGGAAGATTGACTTTCTGATAGAAAGTCACTAAATATCAGTAATCTACTTTGGAGTTTGTTATTTAGTCATCTAAAAAATTATTCTGGAGATGACCAGAAGAGCCTATGGTAAAGATCCAGTCAGCTAATGACACCGGTATTCATATCTAACCTGCCAGAAAGCCGAAATACAAAGTTGTCATGATGTTTTGTCTTAATTTTACAAATAAAATTGGTTTAAAAATAAATCCATCCAGGAGCAGAAAACAGATCCATTTTCCTCTTATATGTAGAAGCCAGATTTACCCTACAAACTCATAAGAAAATACATTGGGTGGCATGCAATGTATACAATTGTATTAACTGAAATGTGGTAGATTCAATGGAGATCTCAAATAATGTAAGTCCTTAGAAAGCCAAAATCAAAGTTCAGCAAAATAAAACACCAGGAAGCAGGTGGGGTGGGGACAAGGTAGGAATGAAAAGGAGAGGAGGAGGGGAATGCAAACAAGAATCCTGCAAAATTAAAAAGAGCCAAGCACTGGTAGCGCATGCCTATAATCCTAGCTATTTGAGAAGCTGAGATCTGAGGATTCCAGTTCAAAACCAAACCAGTCAGGAAAGGCCAGGAGACTCTTATCTTCAATAAACCACTAGAAAACAGGAAGTAGAACTATGGCTCAAAGTGACAGAGCACTAGCCTTGAGTAAAAAAGATCTCAGGAATAGCACCCAGGCTCGGAGTTCAAGCTCCATGACCAACAACAACAACAACAACAACAAAATTAAGAAGAAAGGGTTGGGTAGGGGAAGGATGAATGAGAATGTTGAAAGGAATGACACTACACTGATCAATATATATTGTATTCATAAACTACTTTGTTAAATGACAACTCCTTTGTAGAACTATTTACAGATAATATTTTTAAATAGAAGACCAGGGGCTGGGAATGTGGCTTAGCAGCGGAGTGCTTGCCTTGCATGCCTGAAGCCCTGAGTTCGATTCCTCAGTACCACATACACAGAAAAAGCCAGAAGTGATACTGTGACTCAAGTGGCACAATGCTAGACTTGAGCAAAAGAAGCTCAGGGACAGTGCTCAGAGATCAAGCCCCAGGACTGGACCAAAAAGAAGGAAGGAAGGAAGGAGGAAGGAAAGAAAGAAAGAAAGAAAGAAAGAAAGAAAGAAAGAAAGAAAGAAAGAAAGAAAGAAAGAAAGAAAGAAAGAAAGAAAGAAAGAAAGAAAGAAAGGAAGGAAGGAAGGAAGAAAGGAAGAAAAGAAGAAAGAAAGAAAGAAAGGAAGGAAGAAAACCAAAAAATAAATAAGTAAAATCACACTGAACATGGAATTAAAAAAACAAGAGTGTATACTGGAGAAGGCTTGTGTTGTAAGGTGAGTCGCAGAGGTTCATTCCCATTACTCTCTTCTCTTTCTCTTTTCCTTCTGTTTCCAGTAGGTAGCCCCCAGCCTCCTCCCCACACAGCCTCGCAAGTTAGCTAGTTTTCCTTGTGGGACTTGTGAGTCAGCTCCCTCTGAGAACTTCTCACTTTTACTCTAGTCTTTCCACTGATGTAGACTAAAGTGCACCTGGGGGGTAAAGCCCCCTAAAGAAAGGAAGTGAAAGGGACTGCATTTCCTCCAAGGCATCACTTTACTATTTGATGTGAGAAGAATATGAAACTTAGAGCTCCTGAAACCTCTTCACTTCCTGTGTTGCTGAGTCAGGGAGAAAAGAATTGTCCATGTCCTAAGCATGCAGGCATGTAAATTGTGTGACCTATATTATCCTATGTATTGTGTGATTTGAGTTAGCCTTTAGAAACTCATGTCCTAGATTGACTTTATCATCATCTCTTTTGACAGATTAAGTCATAAAAACAAAGAGTTTGGGGCAATTTGCCTGAAATCACATGATTAGGAAATGAAGGTGTCAGTCTTTGAGTTCAAGTTTGTTAAATCCTCCATTAGATTCTAGCTATCAAAACACCAATTGAAATACCTTCCAAGGATCAAAAAGGGTATCATCATTTCAAGGTCTGTATGAAGAAATTTTCAGGTCTGTTTGAAACCACGTGGGCGCAGCCTGTGTGTCCTGCAAGTGTGTCCTGCAAGTTAGTTTCATGGTAGAACACTGTGGGTCCCACCTGGCAAGAGCTACTGTTGGCCCATCTGGCTTCAGTGGCATTGTCTGGATCTTGATAAAAATGCATGATCTCGGGTCCATCCCAAGCTACTGGAGTCAAATCTCCATTTTAACAAGATCCCCAGTTTACTTAGCATGCACATTAAAGTTGGAGAAGCATTGACCTAAATGAATGTGTTCTAGTTATGTGAACCTCACTGAACTTGATGAACTATGTAAACAGAGTGCCACTCAAATGCTTGAATTCATCGAGCCTTCAGGTCACACAATGGGAGGACTTTGAAACCCAAAGAGACACAAAAGTGAGCCTTAGACCTCTCAGTAAATCAGTGACAGAGTCAAACCCAAAATAAATCCTTAGCAAATGGCCAATTCCTGTCATTTAGATAACATCGTGTATTTTAAGCTCTTGCCTGTTCCGAACACTTCATTGTGTACTAAGATTCAATGGTGAAATCTCAAAGGACTCTTGCTCTGTTGGGGAAGCAGATAAACACCATCAACCCGAGCAATTATAAAACAGCATGTCAGTGGAGAGACAGGGAGGGAAAGGCAAGGTAGTATGTGGTCACCAGGAGAGAACTTGGGAGTCCTGAGGCTTCCTGGAAAAAGACACGACTTTCCCAGGTCTATTCACTGCCTACTTCATGACTGACTGACATCTCAGCTTCCCCTCCCCCTCCCCCTCCTCATCCTCCTCCTTCTCCCCCTCTCTCTCCTCATCCTCCTCCCCCTCCCCCTCCTTCTCCTTCCCCTCCTCCCCTTTTCCCTCCTCCCTCTCCTCTTGGTCTTCCTCCTCCTGTTCCTCCTCCTCCTCCTCCCCCTCCTCCTCCCCCTCCTCCTCCTCCTCCTCCTCCTCCTCCTCCTCCTCCTCCTCCTCCTCCTCCTCCTCCTCCTCCTCCTCCTCCTCCTCCTCCTCCTCCTCCTCCTCCTCCTCCTCCTCCTCTTCCTCCTCCTCCTGCTCCTCCCTTCTCTTCACCTTTCTCCGCTCCATCCCCTTGGCACGAATCTCTTCAACTTCTCAAGTCACTATGATTTTCTTCTAGGGTTTTTCTGCCAACCCACCTAACAGCTACAAGTCATCCCTCTTTCCTTCAACTTCCATAATTGTTTTGTTTACTAGCAGCTTGTAATCCTGAGTGCAGAATAAAACTCACTCAAGGAACATTAAACTTAAAAAGGAAAACCCAGAGCAGACTCTATTACTGACTTAGCAGTTAAGGACAAGGAGTCCTTTTCCACCTTGCTTCACAGTGTCACACCAGTTACATTACTCACTGACACCAGGAGTTTTTTCTTTATTTTTTTAAATTTTATTTAATTTTATTTTTTGGTCATGGCACTTGAACTCTGGGCCTGGGTGCTGTCCCTCAGCTCTTCAGCTCAAGGCTAGCGCTCTACCACTTGAACCACAGCACCACTTCTGGTTTTCTTGTGGTTATTAGAGATAAGAATTTCACAGCTTTTCCTGCCCAGTTGGCTTTGAACCATGATCCTCAGATCTCAGCCTCCTGAGTAGCTAAGATTACAGGCATGAGCCACCAGTGCCCAGCTCACCTGGTTTATTATCTTTAAGTAGTTCGGGGTTTAGAGTTTAGTCATTAACAGGTTACCATTCAACATGTCAATTTCTGACACCTGATCTTATTAGTAGGGTGTAAACACAGTGTTTGTAATAAAAAAAAAAAATCCATCCTCCACACTGTCATCCTATATCATTTCCATTTCAGCCCAGTAAAGTAACAAATGAGAACTGTTCAGTCCATTTAACAGATAGAAAAACTGAGACCAAGACAGATGTAAAAATAAGCCCAAGTAGCTAGGTTTTGGACCCACATCTGATATAATACACACACACACACACACACACACACACACACATACACGGTTGGATGAAGACAAGGCCAAGGCTTTCTCTCTGACTTCTTTCCTCTCCTGCTCAGCTTTGGTGTGGATCAGAAGGAAGTCCTCATGGGAAGGACATGCCATTCTCCTGCTCGCCACCTGAGAAAGAGGAAGTAAGAGTTGGGTGTAGATTAGAGACCATATGAGCAGATACACATGAGCAAACTCTGTGAGAAAAGAGAAAGATGCAAATAGCTTGAGGTATTGGAACTTTCCTCAAAATCAATCAGGAGTCACGTTTCTGATCAGAAGGGTAGATAATAGGATCATGAGGACCAGAATGTTCTAGGGTTTCCTTTCTTTCCGCCCGGCCGCCACCTGCTAGTTCAGCTTACCAGAGCTCTTGTGAATGGGCCCCTTCTTACCTTTGCTTGCTTGAAAAGCAAACACGGAAACATTTGTTAAGCTCTTCTCTCTCCTGTTTCTCAAGCAGCCCAGGAAGTAAGGCTGAGTAGAAAGAGGCCTCGACAAACATAAACTTGAGCAGGAAGGAGTTGGGAGTGGGGCCTGGGCAGTAGAAAGGGAAAAAAAATCAAACTCTTTTACCAAGTATCCTTCCTGCTCTGTCTGGGAAATAGACCCATCTGTGTGAGGATGTCCTATGTATCTGTCATTCCATTCTCTTGGCAGGAATAAGTTTCAGTTCCCCAGAAGGAGCGAGGCAGGGAGTGGGAAGGGGCGGGCTGGATGCCCCTGTTTAAAGGAATGCCTTCCAGATAGAGGTTGCACAGGGAGGCTGACTTTCCACGATCCGCAAATCAGCATTTCTGGGGCTGGCAGAAGGTGATTCCTAAGGGGAAGCTGTTCTAAACCAGCCGAAAATAAATGCTCCTTGGAAAATAAGCATTTTCCACCTGTGACTTCACCCGGGTCAAAGAAGCCTTGTTGTTATTTTTCAGAGTAATGTGCACTGGCATACAAACGCTGCTGCCTAAAAAGCACTTATTTCAAAAGATGCTGGGTCCTCATTTTCATAAATAAATAAACCTCACAGGCCTTTAGAATCTGATTATATATGGAACAAAACTCCTACATACAAGACGATGATCTGAAGCCATCTGAGACAATGTCAGTCTCTCCACCCCACTTTGCCTATGGGAGAAAGCCACACTCCAGATCTCCGCTCTTAGACTGTACCCTGTGTCTTCTCAACAAAAGAATCATAGAGTCATTTTCCTGTTTGAGGATCAATGGTTCTGTTGATTAGAAAAGAACAACACTGTCATGTTCACTAAGAAAACCTTTTCTTCATTTTCTGGGATAGAATCAAGTGTTCCTGTTAGAGAAAAGCCCCCCTAGACTATCGTTTGTTGAGGTAGATACCTTTTCAAGGTTGGTGTATGTTTTAGGGCATTTTGCTAGCCAATCTACCCTCAATATGATCATTTTAAGTTACAAAAGTAAAGTTGGCTTTGTTCAATTACCATGCACTGATCCCTTCTGGACCACATCCAAGAAGCGCCTGGTACTATGGTATAAAAGTGTTTTGGACATTGTAGAATTCTATAAAGCTGTCTGTCTCTTAGGTAGGAACTCATTAAGACATCATCATACTCTAAGTTACTTAAATTGCATACACAACTGCCTTAGAAAAGGAAGATAAAAACATGGGTGGAGGGTTAGAGTTAAGAGTAGGGGTTCAAGAACTGATTTTTCTAAGAAAATAACATTTCAAATGAGACTTAGAGGCTACTGAAGAGAAGCCATAACAGCAAATGTCCTCAGCAGTGGCATTTTAATGTCTCTAAGGAAGGCTACCATGCCCTGCCTAGGAATGAGAGGAGGCATGTAAGTGTGTGGCATATGATGCCAGAGTCAAAAAGCCACACCTCAGCCAGGTGAGGATAGACAGTAATTCCTGTGACAGGACAGCCAGATCACAGAGGTGACCGAGATGTGGGGGACATGATGAAGAACAGACAGGCTCTTGACATAAGGGTGGTAAGAATTTGAGGCCATTTGGGCAGAGGTCTGAGGAGGAGTGAGGAGGCAGGGAAAGTTAATATGGCTGGGAGAGGGAACAGGGGGAGGGGACACAAGGGCAAATTGGCAATTTGAGATGGCATCTTCACATGAGACAAAACTGAGAAAAAACAAGGATCTGGGTGTAGGCTGCTGAAAAAAAAAAAAAAGAATCACGTTTCCAACTTCCTTCGGGTTAAAGTTTATTTACTGCAGCAAGTGGCTGTGGACTGGGTTTTTAGCCCATGGTCTGTGGTTTTTAGAAACTAGAGGTTCAGGGAAATGCCACCATGCCCGACCTAGAAACGAAAGTCAGCAGCAGGTAAAAAAGCATGGCATGAGATGAGGGCGCAGGAGAGGAACACCAGAGCTAAAGCAGATCCCTAGGGAAGCACCCCTCAGCCAGGTGAAAGGAGACAGGATGAAGTTCAAGTGTTCATTTCTTTTGCTTTTTCTTTTTTTGGAAAGGAATTCATAGAGTGAAATAATCTTATTACCATTCTTTTTAAGATAGGTGTGTGGGGGCGGGGCGGTCCAGAAACACAGTAAGCTAAACACAGTCATTAGCTAAATGAATCAGTGAGAATATCGCAGGTCCAACCTCCATTCCATGAGCAGGGTTTTTTTTACTGTCTATTCTATTGGATTCCCAATGTAGTGCTGAACAAGACTGATGCTAGACTTACCAGCTTCATCCATCGACCCAGTTATTCAATAATAAATATAACCCTCTACCATGGCAAGACAGGCTAATAACTCGGAAGAATCTATTGAGGACCCAGCTATGGCTCCTGCTTCCAAGCTGCTCACCTTCGGAAGGAAGAGATAAACTAGGCACATTCATACCCAGGGAGAGAGGGAGATGTGCTGGCAGAAAAGTTCAGAGGTGGCCTGAGCAGAACAAGATGACTTCCAGCTGTAAGCAATCACGGGGGCTGAGAAGATGACATCTACTTTCCTGTTAACCCTTAAAAGTGACATATGGGTTTCTGCAAAGATTACAAGCAGATTGAGAAGACAATGCTCTTTTGTACATGTTACCAGCCCTCAGGTCCTACAAATACTTTGTGATTTTTAGAAATGGATTCTCTCCCAGCGAAATTGCCTTACTAGAAGTTTGCCTGGTTGTGAGGAATTTTTCATATTTATCAGCCTTTAAATAATACCAAAAGGACAAGAGAAAAATAATCATAATTCCTTTAGAAACTCTGTAGAAGAAACTGTTGTGTCTATTTTATAGTGAGGAAGCCCAGGTGATTGTGAATGCTTGTCAAGTCTGACCAGAATCAAAAAGAAGAGAAAGGAAGACAGAAAGACCAGATCCAATGTCTCTTCAGATTCTCAGTTCTCTCTCTCTCTCTCCCATCTCCAACCCTCTCTCCATCTCCAACCCTCTTTCCATCTCTCTCTCTCTCTCTCTGTGATCACCAGATCAATACCTGGGAGTTGTCCTATGTATGGTCTACTTTCTTATTTGATATTTTTTTCTACTATGCTTCTCAGAGACATTTGTTTCAATGCACCTCTAATAACACCGTACTAGGTCTACAGACATCATTCGCTGGGTCATAATGCATTGACCTTTGCCAAAAGACATCTCACAGTCCGTGGTCCAACACTTCCTCTTGGCCTTTCCACCCGCTTCTTGACCTTGTCAAGCCTGTCAACCAAACAACATTAATGAGCTATCTGTTTAGTATTATTTAAGACATACCAATTATCTATCTTGTGCCAGGCATTGTTTTAGATCCTGAGGAAGAAAACCTGTAAATCTACACACTTCATAGTTTGCAAAGGATTTTTTAAGTTATAAAGCTTTCAAGATTAATAACCAAATTCACTTGAATTGTCCATGTAAAGTCTGGGCAAAAGAAACATTTCAGACCCAGGAAGAAAGAAGAGTTTTCTGAAAGACAGTGTGCTGATCATTAATAGAGATTTGTGTGGTATCTAATGTTAGCCCAATGAGCTCCCTTCCCATAGCTTAGTATACTCCTTCCCCTCTCCACAGCTTAGCATGCTCCCTTCCTAGGCAACACGAGGCCCATTTAATAAAGGCAGTAAAGAATCAGCCTCCAAACCTCTTTACCTTGAGACAGCACTCCTCTGGGGCAGCTGCCACCAAATAAGGCAGCAAGAGCCCCTCAGAGTGACCTTCAGGTCTAGGCAGCTGCAGGCCCCTTATCTATTGCTGGGGCAGAAGCCATAAATCCTAGTCCACCATGATGAAGCCCCTGGTCCACACGTTCACACCAGGGTCTCTGCCTCCTAGCCCCTTCTAGCCCCCTTAGCCTCAGTAGGTTATATAGGTCACCTCAGACAATAGCTAGCACTTCTTCTCACACTCTCCCTTGTGAGAAGGGATCTTGCCAGTCCCTTTGCTGGCAATAAACTTTTTCTTTGTTTTTGTACCTGAATGTGTGTGTGGTTTTCTGGCAAAGACTAATGTACTCAAGCATCTAGTGTCCCCAGCTTTATTCCATCCAAAGGCCCAAACCAAGAGAGAGAACCTCACGGACCAGGAACAGTATACAATAACTGCAGGTACCCAATATGGGTTGATGTGGGGAAGGGGTATAGCCTGTTGCTTGAACCCAGGAATTTAATGTCCTTTGATCTGTATGTAGAGACCACCCAACAAAGATCATTGGGTTGGATAATTAATTTTTCTAATAGGAACAATTCTAAGATAGCTGGTTTCTCAATGAATTTCTAGCAGCAATCGATCACTTTATAATTGATTGGAAAAACTGGCAAGTATGCATGTGCTGGTAGATGAATTAGAAATGTGGACGGATGATTTTTCCCCTCATGAGTCTATCTGTTCTTGTAAAATAATATAGGGGGAAGCAGTATTGAGGAAACACAAATGGCTCAAAGATCTTAAGCTCTATCTGTGAGTTGTCAGTTTAGAAGATTTGGACAAGAATGTAGGAGGCTAGACAGAAGGCACAACAGAAGAGGAGAGTAAACACAATACATGACTTCAGGTCCTTGAACTGGTTTTTGGTTTAAAAAAAAGTTAAAAGAAAGACAGATCAATATTACCGCATTTGAACTTGGCCTTCCTAAAAACAGTGCGTCTGTGGGCAGGGTTCATGTGACATAGTAATGAGTCATAATGACA